ATGAAATACGGTTAACTCCATGTGTGTTATCAATATCTCTACGTCTGATTTGATTCATTAGATCATTAACTTTTGTGTCTTTTCATGTGTGTTATCAATATCTCTACGTCTGATTCGCTTCATTAGATCATGAACTTTTGTGTCTTTCTTTATATATATATACATGAGAAATGATCCTATAGGACCCTGGCCCACCCATGTGTGTAGGACCCCAAAGGATCACCATTAAATTTGGTACAGATCTATAAAAATGTCAAGTCCCACACCCATGTGATAAATTTTCTAGAGATCACTATTAAATTTGGCATGGATGTTTAATAGTGATCCTTTGGGACCCTACACACATTGGTGGGGGAGGGTCCTATAGGATTATTACTCTATATACATATAGAGTTTGTCTAGAGTTAACAACCCCTCAAAATACTCAGGTTCAAGTTAGAAGGGGTTGTGATGGGTGTATTTATCAAAACAATCATTATTTTTTATTAAAAAATTATTTAAATAGGTAACTTTACTATTAAGCAATGGCAAATTTGAAATTTTCACAAAAGTACAATGGCATTTTGGAAGTTAGTGTCCTGAAACATTATTTGTAGAGTGCTCTTGTCTTTTAGTTAAAATTTCAATTTTACCTCTTAAGGAGATGACAAAAGTATCATTTGCCTTGTAGTAATATTTAAAAAATTTCCCCATAAAAGTAACTTTTTTAAAAAAATAGACTGCATAATTAATAAATCCACCATTCACAACTCTCTCTATCTTGAACCTTTGTAATTTAAAAGGTTGTGAAGTTTAGAATATCCCATACATATATATATATATATTATTTTCATTTTTATTTTATTTTTAAAAGTACTCATACATATGAGTATTCTTTCCATGTACTAAACTTTTTTGGACACTCATATACCTTTGTTTTGTGTACAAAAGTTTTTGAGTGGAGGTATTTTTCGTCATTTGTAGGGTATGATAGATATTTTTTTAAAAAAGTAGTGGTACTTATTAGTTGTTAAGAAATAAACATTGCTCCATGTATTTGGATGTCACGATGATGTCATCATCTATTATAGTTAGTAAATCCTATTATTTTTATAATAAATTTTTAGTTTTTTTGTTGAATAATTACCTAAAATACCCCTAGACTAAAAGTTAGTATATTATGGGGTAAGGGTATTAAACACCCATAAATATTGAGTACATTAAGTAATACTAACATGTATGAGCATCCTAACATAACCCAATATAGGTTGGGTTGGCCCGTGTCCGACCAAACGAGTCAAATATTCAGATGCAAAACAAGACCGGTGTTGGTTCGATGTATCGGTTCAGTAGGTTGACCCGACACACCCCAACCCCCACCTAATGTCTAGAGTTCGAATTTGATCGTTCGACTTACCTATAACAAAGAAGAAGAAAAATAAATAGATAAATTTGCACAGAGATTCACGAAAAAATGCGGAGTTACCCTTGGTCCAGGTTTTGAGTCATATTATGTGATGTCCTTTTTTTTTATTAGCATTCGAGCCAACAAAAACACGAAAGAAATTGATCCATTTGGGTGATTCAAGTGTCCAATATTCGAACCACTGAACCATGGGCTTAGGTGATTTAAAAGTCCAACTTCGGATCACCCAAAACACAAAAAGATGGTATTTGGGTTTTGGTTAAAACGTGGCTGTCGTACCATTCAACACTTTGGTTTTTTTTTTTCTTGGTATGCTTTAGGCGGTTTGAGAGTGATTTTTTTTTTTTAAGGTTTTAGGCAGTTTGAAAGTGATATTTTTGAACCACGCAAACACGTTAGTTTTTTTAATTCTAGTAACTATTGAACAACTAAATACAACAAAAAATTTTTAGCACTTTGGATATTTTGAAAGTTACACATTCGAAACTTGAGTTAAAATGGGAGCAGTAAATAAACTAAAAAACAAGAGAGGACCACAATATAATATGGCTCAGAATTTGGACCAAGGGGTAACACCACATCTTTTCCCTAGTCTATATGTAATTTTCTCAAAGGAAACACTTATTTGGGTATGGTACTTATGCATGCATGGCGACTGCTCACAAGCATATAAAAATAAAAGAAAATAAAGAACACATGAAAACAAGACCGCGTTATAAAATCATTTACTTCCGATTTAAGTAGATCTCAATCACCCTGGCCATAAGATGTGAAATAGAGTGGCTAGGGATGAGTACTTTCTATGGACAATGTTTGAGAAAATTGTCTTGAATTTTTCACACAATCATAGGCACATCCCCAGCCGCTCGATTTTAGATTTGAAAACTAAAGGCGACTGTAACATCCTTTTACCAAAACTAAATGGTTCTATCATACATTTTCCGATGAAAAGGTTATTTACTGTTTACCGGAAACGTAAAATGCATCCAGTAATCAGAGATGTCATCAAGTCGTACAAAATGTGTAGATAAATTGTCCTTTTGGAAGGTTAATAACTTAATGGCGCACGACATGCAAATCATGAACAGAGAGATAATGTCTCGGGAGTACTTTGGATTATGCCAAAGGCAATGAGAAGCTCGAGATAATGTCTCGGGAGTACTTTGGATTATGCCAAAGGCAATGAGAAGCTCAGAAAATTCACCCATGAGTGATGCAAAGTTAAAAGAAACAGGAGCAGTTGACACTACAAATCCACAATGGTAATTGCCCTCGTAATGGGAAATTGAAAAAACAGAGAAATAAGTGGAATTACTGAACAACTTCTGAGAAACGTTTTAAACTCAATTTCGATTAATCATTAGTGAAGCTGAATTGATTCACAGTAAAACAACCACCTCTACACTTTTATGACAAAAGCAACTTAAAAAGATAATCTTTATTCGTAATGCGCCTAAACACTTTAAAGTACTCAGCAACAACTAACTTATGAAAGACCCAACTGAAATGTAAGAAGAACAAAGCAGAATACAAATCATCGATACTGAAAAGGAACTAGGATCCCAAGTATAGCCCCAACAAAAGAGAGAAGGTATAGACTATGCCACAGGGTAGGACGCCATGTTTGCGATGCCACATAGGTTGACGCCGCGCTGCATCTTCATGTAACCTTTATCACCCCATGTTTGGCCCCAGGAGTTCTTGATTAGCCAGTAGTCGGTCCCGTCTTCAGTCGTTCCATAGCCGATAGCCGTGACAGCATGACTCATTTCGGTGCCACAATCTCCTGTGAATACCCCCTCAGAATAGTGCTTAAATTCGAAGCCACTACCATCAACACCGACGGATACTGGCTGGTTGGCAACGGCACGAAGCAATGAGTCCTCATCACCAGAAGGAATGTTTTGGTAACCGGTAATTGTGGACGTTTTAGAGGATGATTTTTGGGCATCGCATGCGCCGTCCATTGCCTGGTATGGGTAGTCGGCCTCACTGGCGAGGCCACCATTGTTTATGATGAACTGAAATGCCTCGTCCATCAAGCCGCCTTGACAACCTCGGCTGGTGCCACCAGTGACGCAGTCGACCAATTCTTGCTCAGACAAAGACACCGAGTTTCCAGTCTTGATCTTTGTTATGCTCTCGACTGCTGCCACAGCCGAAAATGCCCAACAACATCCTGTGAACAAAGATATTAAATAGTCATTTATGCCAAATAATGTCTGCAGAAAGTAAGAAAGTTTGAGAAACAGTACCACAATCTTGTTGGTCCTTGATCGGAGTTACCACGCCTTTCTCCCTCCAATCCATGGTATCATATTCCGGTGCCGGTGCCGGTGCCAGTGCCAGTGCCGACACATTGGCATACATGAAAGGCCCCACCGGGGCCTTCTTAGGAGGAGCAACATCTCCCCTCAAGCCCATGTACTGCTTCCGGAATTCATCGAGACTCAAGTCAGCAAACTTGTTGAGGCTCAGCTTGTAGGATCGCTTCTCTGCGTTGACAGACTCTATGAACCTGAGGTTTTCCTTGAAGACATTGAAGCGTTTCTCCTTCTCTTCGATGCTTTCGTATTCGACCCCATGGTTTGCCATCCATTGGTCGAACCTTACGGACATGGTGGCTTCCTCTAGCTGGCGGGGTGCCACCAAGGGGAGCCAATGTCCTACAAAGAACATGGCCGCAAACAGCACAGTTGAGAGCGAAATTGCAAGCCGTGCCATGTTAACTAAAGCTATGAGAGACAGAGAGAGATTGATTGTAGTGAGTATACGTTGGAGGATTGTGGGGATTGGAGTGCAAGTATATATAGCGCGGCTTGAGACACTGCCCCGTCCCATGCGCTTGAAATTTGAATAATTGGCTTGAGACACTGTCCCGTCCCATACGCTTGAAATTTGAATAATCGACCCGTGCCTCACGCTGAAAAGCGACACAAGAATCACAATCGGTTTGTTTTGTGGGTTCGTTCTCCACCTTTTTTTGTGCCATTGATGTTTCAGGGTTCATCGTGTTCAAACTAGCTTGCCCTGGGCTTGTGAACGCGGTTACCGCATCGCAGCTATGGCTATTGGCGGTCGCGCTGTGATGGCAATTGGGTCAGGTTGATTCGCCGACCCAACTGGTCGACTTGAACTGGTTTCAGGTGTTGGACACTTTTGGTCAGGTCCGCATAGGAGTTTAACGGGTTGGATCCGGGGATTCAACAACCTTTGAGATATAATTTATATCTAACATTTTGTATCAAAATTCGTCTTTGAGATATATTTTGTAGGGAGACCGCACAAGAATAGTGTGAGTCGGCCGACTCACCAAACACTTTTTTAAATATAAATATAATTCATACATGTAATATTAGTTCTATACAATAAAATATTTACAATAAAATTTTTGTTTTTATATATCTAGCTGCACTCGACCCAACGCAGGCCAGTCGGTCGGATCCATGTCGGGGTTAACTTGGAACCGATCTGATCCATTTGCACCCAAAAATGCCTTTTCAATTCCTATGTTCCTATAACCAAAAGAAAAAAACTCCTTGGACATTTTTGCAGTCATGGTTATTACATAAAATTAGCCAGGAAAAATAAAAACATATGTTAATTTAAACTATAAAGTCTTTCACT